CCCATTACAATCCACAAAAACAAAGCAAAAAATTAAACATTTTTATATTGGACGTTTTTATTAAAAAATAATCATTTTTGGCACAAAAATTTTTTTCTCGTCTTAAATTTTGAAAAAAAAATTTCCCCGAACCCTGATCAGTCGACTCCTCCCATTTTATATTATTTAATTTATTTAATATTACTATTATTATGTTATTTTATATCAACACCCATGTTATAGTATATCAATAATTACTTAACTACCAAATTACCACTTCTTATAATCGAAGAATGGGAAGAGTTGTTGATTCTGAAGCGCTGTCATGATGCACACACCTGCGTGTTTGTATACATCAGGCATTGAGACTCAATTAGCGCCAGTGATTTAGTCTACAGATTCTCCCCATAGTAGGCTTGCTTCACCGACTTCTTTTCTTCCAATATTCCACTTTGAGGAATAGAAGTATGAGTTTTGTGGATTTTTAGCAAAGCCGTATTCAAGTTTGGCGTTGAACTTTCTGATGTTATCAAAGTGTTTTTATCTTTATTTGATCGGTTACAATGTCACTGAACGCCATAGTTGCAGTCGATGTATCAACGATCACTTTTTGTTGTCCTGCCAAATGACTTGGACGAAGTACCTTTTCTCTTCATTCCAGAACAATTTTTAAATGAAGTTGAAAGGTCCTGCGCTCTCTTTCTCAGTAATTCAGCTCTTTTAGTATCTTTAAAATACTTCTCTTCCATCATAGCAGCCGCCAACAATCCGTGATGGCCTTGAATTTGTGTGAATCTATAGTACCGCAGTGGGATACTTAAGGAAGTCGATGCGTCGCTGCTTTCCTCCCAAATCGAATAGTCTGGCTTTATAATATCCTTCCAATCTCGATACAACAAGAAGTTCACCAAATTTCTTATTCGTTGTTTGACTGTTTCGTCCTTTAATTAATCTAGTTGTTTGTGTCATTTGTGCGTAGTAGTAATACACACACAAAACAACACCAATGGAATCACGCTGTGGCTCAACAAACACCACATATGTCACATCTTACCAGCTGTATGTCGTTGCGAAAAATTCACTGTCTCGAAGCTCCGCTTTTGCAAGACATTTCAAAAACTTTTCTGTAACTACAAAACACCGTTTTCGTATTCAAAACATTAATTTTATCGAGGTGAATTGTATTAATTTGAAATAATAGTTTTATAATTATTTTCATTTTTTCATTTTGTTTTTGAAATATTTTAAACGTTTATAACATATAACAATAAATATATTATTTTATTATTATTTAAAACGAGCCAATTTTTTTTCATTGACTTGTTTTTATAGTACTTTTATATAATATTCTTTAACATTTTATTAATAAAATCAATAATTAATATCATAATTGTTAATTTAGAATAATTTAATTGTGATCTATATTAAAACACATCAACAAACATACTGACTGACAGTTTTCAATTTAACAAAATACTCATAAATATAGTAAATACATGATTTAATATTAGCTTTGATAAAATTTACAAAAAGATTAAACAATAGAATGAAGATAATTGCAGTAGTTTTGTTTCAAACACTCTGTTTACGCATCAATGATGAACAGAGTAGTTTCACTTGTTTTCCTACGAATAATAATTCTTCTGTTCTATCAAAGTATTGCACGTTTATAAAACAACCTAAATTTATCAACAACACCAAGTATCATGATTCAAAGTTTTGTTATTGTCCATTCTATGACATTTTATATTAATTAATTTGGTAAATTAAACCACTATCTGATGTTTGAAAGTGATAAAAAGCAACAATAAATTAAATTTAACAAGTAATCGCAAGGTGACAGCTTTGTTCTAATTAATTTTACTTAACATTGTTAGAGGAAGTATGGTTAATAACAAATTTTATTTTAACAAGTTAAATTATTATTTAATCGTTATTAAACAATTTATAATATTTTATAATATTATCAATTATAATTAATGGTTTTATTATATATAGTATAAATATTATATTAATAAACCATTTATTTGTATACTATACATTTTAATATTTTATAGTTTTGTTGTTAACTGTCGTTTTAAACAGAAAAAAGACCACGGCAAAAAGTCACCATCTGTAAAGAAAAGGTTTTAAAGATCGCAAAAACAAACAAAACTATGAATTTTACTAAAACTACTTTATTTTTGTCATAAAAACAAATAAAAAATACTATTTTTTATTTTAAAATGCATTTTTGGGACAAGTTCCAAATTTTTCCTGTTCCGTGATAGACCCTGCTTGAAATTAAAATCATTTTATGTTAGTTTGAATGATTTTATTTTTGGTTTTTAATTGAAAAAAAATCATTTTGAATAAGGTAATAATGTTTTTGAATGAGATTTATATAAAATTAAATATAAAAACAAATAAACTCTATTAACATACAATGGAAAACGAGTTAACAGCACTCTCAGCACTCTGCACTAACGCAGCAAAGGCGGTGTCAGACCTCAACAAAAATAAAAGGGAATACAACTTTGTTGACAACAAATCACTTAACATTGATCAACGCATCGAAAATGCAGAGGGACACTTCGACAGACTTGATGAAGTATTTGAGAGAAAGAAAAACATTACAACATCACTCAACACAATCGTCACTGATTTGGATAACGCATCAAATAAAATCAAATGTGAAATAAGTCAGTATTCAACAAAGAGCGACAACGAGAAGTTGTATGAGATATTCAATATCAAAATAGCACTTCTTGAAGAGAAATGCCAAATGGACTTAAAACCACTTGAAGATGAAATTGACAGAATCAAACAAGCAAAAAACAATAAAATTGATCAAATTATGAAATCAGAGAAATTCATCAATTCAAAGAAACAACACGATGAAAGACAAGAAAAAGAAAAAGCTGGTCTTGAGAAATTGACGGGAATGAAGATTGCAAGTGTTGTGTTTGACTCAGACAAGGACGACTGGTCGCAAAACACGTCTGTGTTTAATAAAAAAAATTATTAACAAAAGCAATTTGTGCTTTTTGATAGAAGACACAAATCACAATAAGTTTGGTGGCGTGTATACTGGTAATATAAATGCTGTTGGCAATTTATCAGCAGTGGCAGTTCTTACATATTTTCGCTTGTGAAAAACGGCACTTTGAATCCAAAAAAGTTTGGAAAAAGTGTAAATTCCAATTATGAATTTTATCTTAATTCTCAAAACAAAAAACGTCTTTTTTATTTGGTTTTAGTGATATAGTTGTATGCAAGAAAGGTGAAAATGGTAGTTTTTGCAGACCAAGCACTTACACCGCCAAAGAAAACGAGTTGACTGATAACAAATTTTTCACGCCAAAGAGTGTTGTTGTCTTCCAACTTAACTGATTTTTTGTTGTCACTTTTGTTTTTATTCAAACATTGCAACACATTGACTCCAAAGTGTCATTTTTGTAAGTTGCCACGTCACCACAACTTGAATTAATGTACACAAGTTTCAACAAAATCTGTCCTTTTTGAAGGGCAGGACAGACGGAAAGAAAACGGTTTTTACCCTTCAAACCTAACACTGGAACGAACACTCGATTAGGACATCTTTGATGTTTCTTTTTTCAGGCATCTCCTCTTTGTGTCTAGTATCTTCTGGAGATGGATTCACGACGCCGCAACTCGCCGGGTTCAACAAGTTTCGACAGTTGCGGCATATCTACTTTTTGTGTCCTGTTGTATCTTTCTGAAGTATGTTAATTGAAAAGTAGTTTGGTATTTTTAATTTATTATGGGTTTTCTCAAACTACAAACTATAGTAATTAACTATTAAAATCATATTAAAGTTGATATTTTCATTTAAAAACAAATAGCACAAATGTTGATATAATTAATTAAATTTGATAGTTTGGTAACACAAATTTTTAAAGCAACAAACTAAAAAAAGATCAATAGACATAATTAAAAAATTACAATTGACAAAATATAGTAAATTGACTATTTTAAATAAATAAAAACATCAGTGATGTTGTTAAGATGAATCGCTACTTTTAAATGTATTTTTGGGTTCTACAGATAAAGTAAAAATGACTTAATCAATTTGTATCGATTTGTGATAAAAACCCTGGTTCTTTATTATATATAAAACATCACAATCTTTTTTGTCATTGGAAATATCCATCACTCAATGAAAATTATTTGAAAAGGCATCTTTCAAAGACTCGAGGCATCTAGTTGAAATTAAATTATAAAACAATAATAAAAATATTATATTTTTAATAACTTGACTCTTGTATTTTAACTAGATTTTAATTAAAAAAACTATAAAACAATGTAATAATTAATTATCATTGTCTTTTTGTGTTTTACTTGAATCGAATTGTTTTTAGTCTTCAAAAGTAATTGCACTCACCCGATCAACTTCAAGTTGTTTGTTGTCAGATCTTCACCAAATTTTCTGACCTGTCTTCCAACTCAACAATTCTCAATTCGCCATCTCTGACTGATTGTTGCGTCTTCTTCAAATCGGATTGTGTCTTACCAATATGAGTGTTAATTGTAGACTCTTTCTGTTCGAATTCTGCAAGCTTTCTCTCAGCCTCTTCAACCTTTCTAGCATACTGTTTAGCTTGTTTCTTAGGTTCAGTAGCTAAGTTTTGTGCTTCTACCTTTTCTGTTTCGATTCCTTCCAATTCTGTTTCATATTTTGCTTTCAATTTAGCAATAGAAGCTCCAGTAGCACCAGCGTCTGCCAATTTAGCTTCTGAATTGGTGACTTTAACTCTAAGTCTTTGAGTTTCTTTATCAGCCTCTTGTTTGATTGCTCTCTCCTTCTCAAGTTCCTTCGGTGAATCAGCCTTTCGAACAGCATCTGCACTGTCAGCCTTCTGTCTTTCTTCATCGGGTTGAGTTTGAATTTCAGCAATTCTTGCATTCAACATGTTCTTCTCTTCTTCTTGAGCAACAGAAGCTGGTGCACTGATTTGGACTTTAAATGATGAGACTTGTGCATTGAGTGTTTGACTTGGTCTTCCATCTTTTTTCTTCTATCAGATTGGTCCGCGGCAGTCTTCTCGGCCTCCGCTTTGTCGTCCAAAGCCATCTTCTTTTGTGCTTCAAGTGCCTTAATCTGTGGTTCATAATTCTCAATCTTAGAAACGTCTTCGACAGACCACTTTTCATATTCTTTTTAGCAGCATCAAGTTGAGTGTTCTGATCTTTCAACGCAGCAACCTCATTCTCCAAATAAGCAATTTGGTTGTCTCTCTTGATGACTTCTGTTTGGTCGATATTTGAAGTCCCAACTGGTCTATCTTCAAGGTCTTGTACTTTTTGTTCCAAATCGGCTATTTTCTTCTTGTCTTTAGCTGTTCTGTCTCTTAATTCGGTCAACTCAGTGTTGTTTGCTTCTAAGTCTCTTTGTAACTTTTTGATTGAACCATTCAAGTTGTTGGTCTCATCTTCATGTTCCGAGACTAAGTTATTGAGTTGGTCATATTGGTCTTGAAGCTTCTTCTTTTCAGAAGAAAGTTGGTCTTTGTCATTCGCTAAGTTCTTCACCTTCTCTTTAATTTCGTCGTTTTCTGCTTTCAACTTCTTCATTAAGAGCAGCTTTTTCTCTTTCAGCGTCTTTTAATTTGGCATCGACAACTCATTTGGCTTTAGTCAAATTGTCGTTGTCAGTCTTCAATTAAGTCAGTTGCTTCTCTTGAGCATTTTTCTTTCTGTTCATATTCTCAGCATCAGCTTCAAGCTTGTCTTTCTTATTAATAGTTTAGGCAAGTTGTTCATTCAAGTTATTAATTTCAACGTCTTTTTGATGCATATTCGATTTGGCACCAGCCAAGTCTTTTCCAGTCTTCTCCATATCATCTTTCAACGCTTGGATTTGGGCTTCGTAGTCGGCTTTCTGTGCTTTCAACATGTCAGAGTCATTCAGTCCGTCTTCAATTTTCTTAATCAACTCATCAAGTTTTCTATTTTTATCTTCTAACTCGTCTTTCTCTGAGTTCAATAATGAAATCTTTTTATCATTTGCATTCTTGGCCGAAGTCAAAGCAGCAGTCTTTGTCTTCTCAGCTTGCAATTATTGGTTATACCCATCCTTTTCGTCTGAGACCTTCTTGTTCGAGCAACTTGTTTGTCGAGTTTCTTCTCAATATCGTCAAGAGCCAATTGAGTCTTTTTCAAATCATTTTTGGTATTGGCAAGATCATTCAAACAGAGCCAGTGTTTTCATTCTTTGCGTTGACATTAAAATCGTGTTTTGCAATTTCTTTACTTGTTTCTCCAAATCGGCAATATCGTCTTCCTTCTCGTGCAATTGTGTCTCAAGATTCTTTGAATTGTCTTCTTCGGCCACTAACTGCTTCTTCAAGTCAGAAATTTCGCTTTCCATATCTTCAATGTCTTTGTTCAACTCGGTGATAACACTGTCCTTCTTAGCAATAGTCGTTTTGTGTTCAATAATTCCGTCTTGAAGTCTTTGATTATCAGCTTCAAGTTACTTTTACTCAGTGGTTAACTTGCTCAAGTCTTCCTTTCCTCTCTTAATATCACCTTGGAGTTCCTCAATGTGTTCTTGTTCTTCTCGTGACTTTATATCGGCCTTGTCAAGAGAAACCTTCTTTGGCTCAATATCTTCTTTAAGTTCTTCAACTAAAGCTTCCAAGTCGACGTTCTTGATTTTCATTTCAGAAAGTGCCTTCTCAGCGACTTCTCTCTTCTTATTTTTTTTATCAACAAGCTTCTTCTTAAAAGTTTCAATTTCTTTGTCTTTAGTTGCGAATTAACACTCATCGACTCTTCTTCTCTTAAGTGTTGGTTGGACCTTTTGTAACAATCTGAACCAGACCCAATTTCTGAATTGGTACCAAGTGTGAATGGTGTCTTGAATGACATTAATAGCAATCTGTTCATTACGTTTCTGTTCAATAAGCTTTCTTTGTGAGATGGCTTTTACACACACATGAAGACCACCGACAAGTTCAGTGACTCTGTTCTCTCTAATCTCTTCAATTTCAGCAAGAACATTAACTTTGAAGAAAATCTTGGTCTTACCAAACTTGAATTTGCCAGTGTTCACTCTTGGCTTGTTTCTTGTACTTCTCACAAAATAGTTTCATGAGATCCTTGACTACTGGCATAGCACCTGAAGACTTCTTGTTGATGTTAGTTCCAAGAAAAAAGTATCTCTTCAAGAATTCGTTGTAGATGATTCTGTTTGGATACCCAAGACGAGTAATTCTAATACCTTCCAAGACACCATTGCATCTCAATTGCTTCAAGACAGTCGAGTCAATGAAGTAGCGTATTCTCTTCTGTGTATTTAAAAGAACGTATATAATATAGTGTGGTGTAGTCATTCTCAATTTCTTCATAAGATCATCAAGTTATTCTCTGTAATTAGATCCCACAGTCAAAAACTTGGCACCTTTCTGGCCCTTGTTGGCTCCACCAGCCGAGGCTCCAGAGTCATCACAACTGGCAACATGCAAACTGAACAATTCTGAAATGAACTTCCCTTGAGCAGCCAAGAAAATCTTTTTTATTTGTGGTTTCAATGTATTTTTGTTCTTTCAAATTCTGTCTATCATCATATCTTAGTTTTATTTGAATTTTTCAGTTTTACTTATTTACTAATTTTTTTATTTATATAAATAATATAAATAATACTTTATTGATATTAATATAATAAAATATATGGTAATGTTTACTAGAAAAGCTATATATACCCAGTGAATAATTTTCATAGTAAAACATAAAAAATGTATAGTAGTATATAAATTATGTTAAATTAGGGGAACAACATTTTAAACTATATTTTATCTTAATTTAATTAAATCGCAAGGGGGACGGTTTTGGAAAAACCTGAAGGGGCGAAGCCCCAACGCAGAAATCTGAATTTAATTATAGATCAGATTTATGGTAAATTTATAGTAATTAAGTTTTATAGTAAATTTATAGTAATATGGTTTTTTATCTTCCTTACAATGACTAAAGGGATAATTAAACTTGATTATGATAAAGATGTTGATGATTATGTTAAATATGATTTAGATGACAAATCCTTATTTGTTGATCTTAGATGTGGATATAGAATTTCAATTAAAAGAATGGAAAGATTCAAAGAATATTTAAATGATTATCTTAACACTATACAAAGTAATGAAAATGTAATATGTAATTACCAAACTTATGAATGTTGGTGTAAAACATATCCTTTAACAGATAAATATGCTTTGAACAAATTGATTAGCTTTCTAGAAACAAGAATATTTGATCATGATGAAATAATTAAAGCTGTAAATTCAGATTATGATATCGATATACCAGGACCTATAATTGTTATAATAATAAAAGTATCTATTTATAAATATTAATTCTCAAATAATTTACTTATATTTAAATTGTTAACAGTAATATAATGTTCTAATATAGGAATAATCTTATTAATAATTCTATCTCTCATATTATTTTGGTTGTTTTCTAATTCTTCAATTTTATTAAGTAATAATAAAATAACAATAATTCTAATTATTCTTGCTTTTCGTCCTCATTATTTTTGACTTTTTTATTTAGATCATTTTTCGTAATTCTAT